AACCGTATTGATGACGTTTGCTTCCCTATTCATGCATCTGTGTCTATCTATTGTTGATGTCCGCACTTCGGACTACATTTAAGGCTGGCATTTTGGTTCCAGTCCGAACGTTAACTAAGCACCGATAGTCGTCTTAGTTGCTTATACTTGTTCGTGCTTTTCCCAAAACTCTAGGAATATGGCTGTTATTACATTTAATCCAAACCTATGCATGTTCGTAGTGTTATCGTCAATGAGAGTTACTGTTTCTCCATTCCGTTTGTGGTAGTCCATACACAAGTGTGAACGAATGCCTGCTCGCAACACTAGTATTGCAACTCGAACCAGGGACCCTTAGTATGTCAACTGATATCTCTACTCGCATCGGGCGGTGCTCGTCACCATGTTGAATGATTAAGTAGAAACCATTTAGTAGTACTTGTAAGGGCCGCATTTCAGCCTGACAGACTGATTGCATTTTCACTCGCGTGACACCATTATCTGCTGCCTCGATGTCCTACTGGGGCTCACCTAAATTACAGGTTGCGCTAACGTCTGTTCGTGTCTCGCTACCTTCTCACTTGACCGATGGATCTTATTACATTTCATCTCGTGTGACACCCCGTGACTTATTGCGGGTTGCAATGTAACCTCTCTCACAAGTGCCTTTGTATGCCCCCTTCTACTGCTGCCGTCTTCAGGTAAACCCACTGAGATTCCGACAAGTCCTCAATGTTGGTTCCGGAACAGTGGCAACACGATGTGACATCCAATTTTTGCACACAGATAGCATTCTAGACACTGATGAATTGGTCGAGATATGCCAGCGTTCGGAACGAACGACCAAGGGGAAATAAGTAGTAATACATGACGGACTGCCTGGCTGTTCTACCTACCTGTTAATTCGCGGTCACCTCGGACAAGAGACGATCGGACCGCCTCTGGTTTACGTACAGTTAATATAGGAAACGGCATTCACACCACACCAACGATAAGTTATTACTGTTCCACTGTGCTTTTCCTTCTTCATTACTGTGAGCATAGTTATAATTCCCGTTTTTTCACCGCGGACTTGGACTTAACTTAACTTGTAAAAAATCAGTGGACTTAATCGCACCATTTCCCTGCTAATTTGTAAAGTTGCTTACTCCATCTCCGTCATCTTCTTTGTGTCATCCTTATTCTATCACTCATATAAGTCGCTGCTGGGTACAGTTTCATTCTAGAATGATTAGCTACGAACTTGATGCAATGTATTACCTTTATTGCACCTGCCTAGAACGGATGAGCCACAGCTAGCCTACCTTTATTAAACTTACTTAATTCGGTTGTATTTCGCGATGAGTTCACGTGTTGCCCATTACAATGGTGTACGCATCATGACCTATGCTATGCTATTCTTGCTACCTCAAGTGGAATCTAGTACGGTGACATACCGAGACGGTGAGCTACGGCATCTTCCTCTTCGTATTATTATTCGGCCGTGATTCATGTCACTATGTAAGCCCCATGGTATTACTCACCAGACTACGCTACCTCCATTCTACTCCTTAAAATTGATTTCTAGACCCTAGCTTGACCATCTGCCCAATGCTAACTAGCACGACACTTAGAGAGACGATGCATCACAGGTTCAGTCTATCCATGTGCTCATTCGTATTTGACGTGCGCGCGAGTTTCCGAGCGAACTGTGTTGTTGATACGGATCAGTGTTAGGGTGGCAAATTATTGATTGTGTTTTCAGTTCGGTCGATACGCGCGAATCAAAAGGTTATCAGCGCGTGGCCATCTATAGTACACATTAAGTGCAAAATTTGACATTTGTAACACAATGCTTAACGATTGCCCGCTCGTGTAACCACGTTGGACTATGCATCCGAAGAGAACGTACCTGCGAAATTGCGTGGCAAGTGAACGATCCCGACAATTAACCGACTAGCGATTATCATGATGTCGACAATTCATGTTCCGCTCCACAGGTTAGTGGTGTGAGTGCGCATGCTTATATTTCCCGTTGTTCATCAACCACACTGAATGTACCGAGGCTTATGAAAACGGAAGTGCTAAATGCATTGAAGGTGGAAGCGCAGAAACGCCTACCAGAAGTTGAATTGGACATGGCCAATCTTCTGCATAGACTAAGAAAAAGGCAATGCCTACGGAAATGGTACGTTACATCGGAAAGGAATCGGCATATAACGACAATCGTTTTAAGAGCACCGAATGACTGCACCCGACGTACGATGCAGATCGTTACCAAATAGCCTATGGCCAGCAGAGTACACAGCGATATGTACAAACGGTTGAGTACTTCGATGGCAGCGATTGCTACGCCTTTTGCAAAATAATGCGAACGCTGTTTGTAATGCCGCATGTTTGACAGTAGGCAACGGACTTAGTTGATGTAGTACTGCGGTTGTTGTTGTGCCAACTAGGTCGTAAGCGGTGAATATGTTGTATTGCCACCTGTCAATGCTTAAGGTTGCGCAATAATCGTTCTTTAAGAATCTGCACGTATCTCGGGCAACAGATGACCGCACCGGTTAGCGGCACGGATAGCCCCATCGCATTAGCACAGTATGCTATCTCCCTCATCAGCTACGCAAACCAAACTTTACATATAGGCGGCAACACTTAAATACACACTATTTTACTGCACCACTTGTTTATTTATCATTCTACCTAGTAACCGTACTAATGGCAGTTACTTCACTATTCCTATATCGATTTCGTCCAAATATTGATGCCCAACATTTAAGGCTGTCATTTATGTTCACGTCTATATGTTAAAGAAAACACCAACAGTTAGTATTGAGTACTTATTCTGATGCCTGCCAAAGCGGCTGTTAGCCTGATCTCCGTTTGTAGTACTATTGTTCATGAGGTTTAATGTGTCTCTATCCAGTTTGTGGCATTTCATACTTAAGTTTGGACAAACCCATGTGCATATGTTGTATTCGAACTGCCATTGGACACAGATGACGCGAATCCATGTCTAAATGTATACCGAATGAATTCAACGAGAATATTCACACCGCTTTTGTACGGCTAACTTAGTGCAGGGAAGCGGCACTGGGGCACACCGAAAATAACATTACCAGGACATGAACAAGGTGAGTTTATGACGAACTCATGTTGATTACAAATGTTGCGAATCCAAGGCAAAGTTGATCGGTTCGAATTCCGTGGACTGATCAAGGCGGCGGTTTCCCAGTTGCGGGAGAAGGCACTATTGCGCGCGGAATAGAAGCACGATGCGTATGCTCCCATTCGATTTACTAATCCAGGCCAATAAGGCGGCGTATGTGGTACGTTTGCCTGCATGATGAATATTCTTGCCTTTCAGCATTACATGTTGGTTAAGATCCCCGGTGTGGCTACACGTGATGTGAATGCTGACAAGGCGCCTACCTGTCTACTACCCTCCACCTCGATTGGTGGCTCCAGGAGATGGTTGGTCGTTGTGGGTGGGGACGGGGTACACCGTCCTCGTGACGGTGCCAGACTCAAAGAGTGGTTCCATTGTGGAACGGGCTACAGCCCAGTCACTGCCTTGTGTACGTCTGCTGTGCCTGTTTTCCCAGTTAGGCCGGAAAGCTTCTGTTCTGTTTGTTGAAGGAGGGTGGACCGGTTCCGTTGATGAAACGTGGCTCCCATCCACATGCCTCCTGGTCTTATTCCTTCGGGTTTAAACCGGACATGGGGTGTGTGGGTAGTGCAGCGCAAGCACTCATGGTCCCTCTGTAGGCGCAGGCGAGCTATAGCTGTCCGCGTGGCGGCCACAGTGACAGCCAAATCCGGATACGGATGCCGCCAATCCAAACGATACCAAGACAGCATTGTCATCATCATTATACATGTTAACTGCAGGTGGAAAATACCTCAGCTATTGTGCCGCAATACAAAGGACAAGAAGAATAAAACAAGAGAGGCACGCCGGCAGTGTCCCCAGTAACGGATGGACATCATTCCGGAGAGCTAAACGGCCGGCTATCGTGCCGCGAAAAGAGATTTATGTTACGCCTAACGAATGAGATCGGGATTGGAGGGACAGGCTGAACGGGAGGGGAGGGGGATGGACAAAGGAACTCACAACACAAACGCCATTTTGACCAGCTCCTAGCCTTATCAGCAAATGTGCCCAACCAAACATGTTCATCGTCCTTAGGACCCCAGCCAGGCTGTTGGGATGCACCAACCGACGCCAACTTCGAAGTGACGGTTTTCATTCCTCTTGCCCAAGTCATTGCTTAACCTCCCCTTCTTCTCTTCCATCCAGATCCCGGGCGCGCAAACAACACACGTCGCGGGAGTCGGTGTGCTGGCCTACACAACGCATGGCCCAGCCATCGGAGCCTGGTGCGTGATAGAATGGTGCTG